TCCCGCGGAGCCGCTGGCAGGGCTGCAGCCCTTTGTGCGGGCGTCGGCCGTTCCCGGGGGCTGTCTGGCCTCGGGCTTAGAGGGCGGCGTTTCCTAGAAGCGTCTTAGGATACTGAAGGCGCTTAAAACAACTTTTAAAGTGCTATCTTACACTTTCTTATACTGATTGTGCTTTTTTACCCGCAATCTTTATTGCAGGCTTATGCCAAATTTTCTGGTGCACCGCTGACAGTGAATACTATAAATAACTTTTGGAGAGCTCCAAAAGGTACCTTCTTAGCATCTTTTATTCTTTCATAGACATGTTATAAATGCAGGTTCCAATTTCTGCTTTATTTCTGAGTTTGCTTCAGTTTTGTGTTCACAAGTGTAACCGGCTCCATTGAAGGCTGCCTGCTTTCATGATACATCAACAAATGACAGGATGAAGGTTTTGGAATAAAATAATGAAACACATAAGTAAAGTGCCTCAAAGGACACTTTATTAAAATGCGTGTGGGTGAAGCAGTGGACAGTCAGCAAAGCAGTGGAGCCAAGTACATACTTGTTTCTGTCAGGCAACCTAAATTGATGGTATACTGTAAGCAAATTTTTAAGCTTTTTGCACTTTGCATATTTACAATGGTAGTAACTAGACTTGTGTATGGAAATAGTGTTCTTTAATTACACATAATATAATTAGTTGGTGCAGTTGGAAGTGGAATGTGAGCCTTAAAGGGTAGATTGCACGAGCTGAGATGTTTAGTGCTGTGCTGCGTAGGGAAGTTGACTCAGAAAAGGTGATGAATAACTTGGTTGACAGAGAAGTTGAAGATAAGGTATCAAATAGGACTTCTTCATTTTGGATGCTTCTGCTCATTACTTATCTGTTTGTTCAGCATTTAAGTTATTGTCCTGGTGTATTCCAGAGAGGTAAAATCACCTGCAGGGTTACACTTACCACATCATCAGTTTTGGTATTACTGTATCCATGCAGAAGTTGCTCCTTTGACTCTTGCTTTTCAGTATATTGGTTTTTGTTGACAGGAAATACCAAGAACTAGGTGGGCATACTTACCAAAAGTTCTGTGGCTTTCTCCGTAGCCAAAATACATAAAATCCATACAAATCTACATAGTAAATGTTTCTAATAGTTGATACTTTAGTAGTATTTAGCAGCAAAGTCATGCTAGGCTCATTCTGGCAGTTATGTTGTGAATGTGCTATAAAATAGCCCGTGTTATGGAGATTTTACACTGTACAGCCCTTGATCCTGCAGTGTGATGAGTAAAGGCTGACCAGCTGGCTTCTGACAGAAGGGAAATATTTGGTTCTGGAATGGTTTGTGGATATTTGGTGTTCGTTTGGGCAGTGGTTGTAGCAAGGTAGTGAAAACAGGTGGTTAAAATTGATTTGGAGAGGAAGGACAGGGAAAAATTGGAATAGAAGGAAGAAGAGGCCCAGAGGTAAATGAGTTGAGAGGGCAGTTGGACTGGGTTTGAATTTTTGTCTTAACATCTGAAATCCAGACATATAGCCTGGCTCCAAAAGTATTGGATATCTAGCAGAAGACATTGGCTTCAATCTGATTTGATGTGGGCGCTTTATTGTGTATTGTTATTAGTGAAGGCCACAATACACTAATATATTTGTGACCTTGGTGGAACTCCCCTGCTATGTAAAGCTTAGTTTATGCCTACATGTAAGGAAGATCAGAGTGTGCTACAGAGAAAAGGAAAATAGGTGAAGTGACTGATTACTTTGTAGTTACCCATATAAATTGTTTACTGTATTATGTCTTCTAGGAGATGTACCAGTCCTGGTATCAGAAGACATTGTTATTTCTCAGCCAGCAAAAATACTAAACTTCTTAAGAAAGCAGGTAGGTATTTTTTCTCTGCCTTTTAGTGACTCTACATAGAATCATAGAATACATGTCCCTTGTATACATTGATATAGGCTTCCAAAAACCTGGAACGCAGCTCAGACCCAGTGCTTTCCTCTTTTTCGTACACACATGAGAATTGCAAAATGGTGGATAACAGGTTGCTATTTGAAAGTTTGATTGTTAGTCATGTGAAAAAATGAAAAACAGGCACAAGAAAGCTGTTCATTGAAAAGGACAACAAACTGTCCTTAACTGAACAGTTTCTCACTGAGCACCATGCTCTTAATCGTAACACTTTTAACATCATTATGGGTTTGCAGACCTAGGATACCACAGTCTGGGACATGTGATTTTAACTGCTTAAATGGGTTATGTCTCCCAGTGCTCTTTTTTTGAAGGATAATACATACAGCATTGTTTTTAATCTATGTGGTTTTTCTATAGCTTGTAGCGTAAAATGTCTGCAAGCATTTCTTGATGCACATTGTTATTGCATAATCAACTTTTGCTTTTCTTTTGCAGTTCTCTTAACATCTATTCACAAACAAAAAAGCTATACGATGTCTTTTCACAAAGTATAAAGATGTCTAATAAACCGCGGCATCACATTTTTATTTCTTAGGATGGTCCTACAGCCCACTGTTCTACTTTTGTGTTAGAAATGCAGTTCCTGCCAAGTCAAGAAGCTTATCTGATGAATGGTGTGTTAGTGAAACTTTAAATCTTCAGGAAAGAAAAACAGAGTCTGAAAATGCACATTTGAGATGAGATTTTCAACAGTTGTTTTAAAATTGAGAAGTTTCATAGGCATTTGAATACCAAAGATTGCTTAATGTTGGGAAAAAAAAACCCCTCTTATTATTTTGGGAATAAGAGGGCCTAAAAATTTAAGAATGGAAAAGGGAGATGCAAGGGGGTTTGACACAGCTGGACTGAAGAAGTAAATTCTAGTGAGCATGTGCTTTCTGTCCCACAAAATGTTACATTTACCAACTCAATAGCTGTAAAGTTTGAAGCAAGTTAGGGTTTTGTAACACTATTTCTAGTATGTATTTCCTTTTAATTTGTAGAAATATAATGCCGATTATGAATTGTCTGCGAAACAAGGAGCGGATACACTGGCATACATTGCACTACTTGAAGAGAAACTTCTTCCTGCCCTGGTAAGGATTGAGAAATACTTTATAATGGTCAGAATATTTGGAAGTGAATGCTACAGGAGGCGCCCGATGTGAGAAGCATTAAAGTCTTTCAGTCATAGTCTTGTCTGGAATGTATTTGCTTTATTAGTTCAATTTTGGAAATACTGCCTGTCAGCTTTTGAAAAGGGAAGAAGTCTGTGTTTGTGAGGTGTAAAGTAATAATAATTAATTTATGAAAGACATTTTAAAAGGTCACCTATGAATGTTTTTTCTCTTAGATGCATTTTGGGAAACAGTATCCTTAAACAACTTATTGTGGCTGTTTTTTGTTTCATTTGATTCTTTTGAGAGAACTTTAAGTAAGATGTGATATGCCTGATGGGGGGTGCACAATTGTGAAAGTCTTTTGAACTGTTCAGTTAGAACTTTTGAGAAATTAGAATACCCATCAGTAGTTTCATTTTTCAGTTCTAAATAACATATGGCCACATGCCCTCACCAATTTAGTTAAGTATGCTAAAGCTATAAGAATCCCCAGACATTGGATCTCTTGAATGACCATGGCTTCAGTTTGTCCAGGAAAAAATATTCTGACCAGGTAATATCATGGGCTAGTCTCTTCAGTTGACCCACAAGGTTTTGAATTCATCATTTCATAATATAGTTATCTTAAGATTTATGTAAAATTAAAAAAAAAAATCCTGTAGGTCTGCAACATTTTTTTTAGTATATTTTCTATGTACAGTGTCTATGGGTGTGTGTATATATATATATACATAAATATGAGTGTGCATGTAATTTTATGCACATGTATATAGATCTATGTAATATCTTTGTTGGTTTTCTTTTAGGTGGAAGGTAGCTGTTACCTTAATTATATACTCCTATACTGAAAGGATTAGTGTAATCCTTTAAGGAGCCTGATTGCCTTGAATTACAATAATTCCTGGTGCTTCTGCTTCTTTGACAGAGATCTTGCAATCAAACTTTTAGTGAGAGTTGTCTACTGTTCTTACTCGAATTCCAGTTGTATTTTTCCTTGTGTTGATACAGCTGCACACTTTCTGGGTCGAGGCTGAAAATTACTGCAGTGTGACAAAGCCATGGTTTGCCTCAAGGATTGCCTTCCCACTGAGTTTGTATCTGCCTGGAAAGATGTCCAGGGAAGCGCTGAACAGGATCTTGATGACTAGGGGAGGGCCTCCACTCTACAGTCTCACCGAAGTGGAAGCACAGGTGTGTGTTGTGTAGTAAAGAATTTGTAAGTTGGTGCTGTCCAGAACTGAAATGGTCAAGCACACTGTCAAATGATGAACGATGCTGTGCATACTAGCCTTGCTACACCAAGGGCTCTTAGACAGTCTTCTGTCTTCTCATCAGATATACAGGGATGCCAAGGAGTGCCTAAATCTCCTGTCGAAGAGATTGGGAACATCTCAGTTTTTCTTTGGACATACGTGAGTGTGATTTTTTTTTTTTTAAATGACTAATAAAACAGGTACCATGTGACTCTGAGAACACTTAAACTTTTCTTTTTTTTTAACCTGCCAGAATGTGGTTCATGGTGGTTTTATGTCTCGCACTCTGCTTTTCAGATAAATCTGAATGAGCAAACAGGACATAAATGAGATCTTTCAACTAAGGCAATGCAGTGTCTCCTTTATCCTGCATTTTTCCACAGAGAGGCAGATGCTGCCAACAGCAGCTAAGAAAATGTGGGCTGCTTGATGAGTTAGTGTAGCACTAGAGAGTGCTTTTCTAGCCACTGAATGTCACCTCCTGTGCTTGTATCTGTAAAAAAATACTTCAAGCATGAGGTGTTACCACTGCCTTCATGGGAGGAGAGTGTACTTCTGGGAACACTCCTCTTCCTGTGGTATGTGCACAGAGCAGGAAGCAGATAATTGCCAACAACATAGCACCAACAGATCCTAAAAAGTATGATCTGTTAACCACTGAAGTTGGACCACTTTATGAGAGAGGATCCTGGTCCCCTGGCATACAGCTTGGCTTCTGTGGTGCAAGAAATGTGTTTTACAGTGACTTGTTGACTGGTGTACATGACAGCATGACTGGATTTTAATGCTGAAATAACTTTCAGCTTGGCAGCATGTCTCTAGTTCAGAGGTGCTGAAATCGGTAGTCTGTACAGAGCATTTACCAGATAGATATGAAAAAACGGAATGCCAGAAGAGCTGACTGTATTCTCTCCTGAGTTGTGTTTGATGTACACAGAAAATAGTTACCTTGTAGAGGTCTTACCTGGGTCACTTTGGCTTTCTGTCGCTCTTTTTAGGCCTACCACCTTGGATGCCTTTGTGTTTGGTTTCCTTGCACCAATTTATAAAGTGTGCTTCCCCAGAGTACAATTACAAGAGCATTTGAAACAGCTTCCCAATCTGTGTCGATTCTGTGATGATATTTTAACTTGCTACTTCAGGTTAACTGTCTCAGGTAAGCTGTGTTTTTTTCCCTTTTTTGTCATGTATAGTCTTGTTTGGATTAGGACTCTAGGTTTCCATCTGTGAACCAAGGCCGAATTAGATTTTATGTAGTTTATGGAAGAGCTTCTGTGGGGAAGTGAGGTAGAGAAGCTTCCAAAGTTGTGCAGAAAGGATTGAAAATTAAAAGCAAGGGTTAATCCTCAGTTTATACTCTTTCAGGCATTGGTAAAATGCACCTGTATCTATGCTATGGCTCATGCTTAGTACTTCTGTTTTTCTCGCATGGAATGGCTTTTCCACTTCAGTTCTTCTTAGGATAAAAATACTGCATGAACTCTCTCTCCAGTGTGCGTTTATTTTTTAAGGATTTAAACGGTTTTGTAAATACCTTTTCACTCTTCCTCTTTCTGCCTTCACTCTCCAGGCCATTCTCCAGCTGGACAGGATACAGCAGATGCTAATCTGCAGAAACTCACACAGCTTGTAAATAAGGAATCCAACTTGATTGAAAAGGTTACTTTTGCTTCAGTCTCTAATTTTCCTGCTTTGTTGTGGTTATCTGTTCACAGATTCTTGCATGGCAACTGCAACTGTACAATGGACATTTTATTTTAATTGCTTCTTTTCTAGTGAGTTACTTTGTAAAGAGAGGCAGGAAGAATATGTCATTTGCAAGGAATAATTAATGAAGCCTTGTACTTAAAAAGTGTTTTTGTTACCATCAAAAGAACATTGTCTTGCAAGTGCACATACCAACAAAAGAAGGGTATCTTTCCACAAGTGTACATTCCATCAAAGGAGGAGGCAAATGTATTGATCAAAACTCAGAAATGGCCCTGCAAATTAAGACCAATCGTCAGCTCTCCTTGCTCCCAGATGAATGCTGCAGTCACTAACCTGCAGTCACTCTTTCTCCTGCTTGTTCTACATCTAGCTTTTATTTCTTTATATTCTTTGTTTCTAAGGCTGTCACTCAGCACCTGTCAAAAGCTATACGACTTATGTGAAAAATACTTGTGAAGAATTAGTCTTCTGCTGCAGACAGAACACTTTAACTAGAAGGATAGAAGGCATTTCTTCCTGAGAAAGATCAGTGTATGAAATAGATCATTAACTATGGTCAGCTTCTGTAGTATTGGTATTGATTGTACCTCCTCTTTGTGGTATTGAAGTGTGGCTGTGAGAGTTTTAAAGAAGGGGTTACATAGACATTTGTCAGGCATGATTTAGGTAAAGCTGATCCTATCTTGAGGGAATGGGGTGGACTGGACAGCCTCTGGAGCTCTTTCACCTGTGCTGTCTTCTGTGATTATAGTAACTAGACTCTTTTTGATACCATATTGCGCACAGGGCATTAGATTGATTTCCAGTGAAAATGTAAAGTCTTTATATTCAGAGATTAATTTTAACCTGTCTTTGAAAAGGTCTCAACACAAGTTCTTTATTAAATAATTTTGTAATCCATAACCAATCCAAATTCACCCAACACTTCCAGAACATTTCTAATTTGAAAAAGATTTGTTCTTGCAAGGTGCTGAACATGCAAAGTATCCATTGATGTTAGCGGTTTGACTTTTGATCTGCTTTCTAGCAGCATTTGACTATTGTATGAAATTGAAACTTTTGACATCTTAGAAGAAGGTAGCAATGTTGCTTTCTCAACTAATCTTGACTAAATGATTTGAGCAGAAGCAGACGTATCTACCCTGGGTTTGATGCACCATATGCTAATGGAATGAATAGCAGCTCTAACACAAGCGTGTGTTTGGGAGTGGAAAGGAATCAAGGCATCAGTTTTGGTTGGGCCTGAAATAATAGGGTAAAAAATACCCCAGACCGGTGTTAATGGTGGCAGCCCTGACAAATAGACTAATCATATAATCTGTATTCTACTGTTCGCCAGATCCGGCTCTCATTATTTCTCTGCAGATGGACGACAACCTTCGTAAGAGTCCTCAGCATCCCCCTCGAAAGCTAACAACACTCAAGCTTGCTGCAGGTGGAGAAGGCAGTCCATTGAATCGTTTGTCACCTTGACAGCTTTTGTTGCACGTACATGTTTTTGCCTTCAACTCTTCTGAGCACCCCAGTAAATTTTTTAAATGAATGTTGTTTTTTAAGGGAAGAATCTGCTACTGGGTACATGCAGGGAAGAAATATAGTGTTAAAGTCTCCTATTTACATGTTCTTTTAAGAAATTGCATAGTTAAGGCTGACCACATACTAAGCTGAGGCTAAAGTAAACAAGAAGCTTATACCTGCAGATGTTAGAGTGATTTTGTACAGCATATTTTTTCATGTAGCCTAGTAGAAATGTTGACCAAAATTCCACTTACAGAACATTCACCCTTATTTTATTTTCTGGCTTTTGATTTTACTGTAATCATGGTACTGTATGTGAATGGGTATACTCTTGTATCTGTCTGAAAATTTCAAAGTCCAGTTGCAAAATTGGTGAAAAGACTGAAAAAAAATTAAACATTGCCTTTTACGGCAGCTGAGAAATGAAAAGCAATGAGAGGAAGTTAAATATTTTTATTGTACTTTCACGAGCTCTTCTGGGTCGTGAGTTTTAAGGTGGTTAGTATTTTTGAAAACTTGTCATGTTGTACTTTGAGGGGGATTATTGAAAAGTGTGTGCACTGTGGGGAATACAATGATGTACAATGCTAACATTTCAAAGGTGCTTGGTTTTAGTCCTGTGTGAAACATGTTTAGCCTTTGCGTAGTGTAATACCACATGCTGCAAATCTGTTAAGTCAAAATCACAGAGGCCTGGTAGTGAGATGAAGAGATTTGATTAGCTCCTGTTGGAACAAAAGACTTGACTAGCAAACATACCGTGGCTGTGGATTGAAAGGAACTGGTTAGGGCTTTATATGAAACCTGATGTAGGGTTTTAAATTTGTCACAGATGCCTTTGAGTTAGTTTTCTCTTTTTTAAATTTTTTTAAGCACTATAGTTCATTGAAAAACTAAAATAAAAAACAGCCAGATTTTTATTGTTTGACAGTTTAGTTCAGAGCTCTTTTATCTCTGCAAACTGTAATACATTGCAGCGCATATTTCTTCTGTTTAATTAAGGGACTTGGGTCTCATTGCTTTTCCTCTTAGCAGCAGTCTTGCTGGTTCTAGTGACCCAAGCAATTCTGTTACAAGAGGGATGCTGTAATTCTCTACTGGCAACATAATGGCAGAGGTTTCATGAGTGGGTGTAAAGAAAATTAGTCAAGGAGATTGGCCAAAATGACAGCACTTGGGATACAGAATTTCAATGGCTGTATGTATGGGATGACTGTTCTGGTTTTTTCCTTTTTCTGGCCAAATCAAAATAGTCTTTCAGCTTCCCTTCAGCTACTAGTCATGTTTGAGATATACAGATAAATTATTTCCTATTTATAAAGACAAGACTGTAGATTGTGTACATACTGTACTTTCAGACTTGGTATGTAAGGAATGCAATATCTTTAACATTTCTTAATTATAATTGAAATGTTGGGTTTCTCTAATGAGCACTTTAAAATAATGTTTAAGCTTCATGCTCTTCCTAGCGTATTTGTTTCAGTGATGTGAAATTAATCTAGCTCATCCTCATGATAATTGTATAAACCAACCGTCCACTACATGTAAAAGTAAGTCAAACGTTTAAAATTTTTACTGCCTTGTATCTTGACAAGGTTTAAATGAGATCAAGTCACATGGCTTTTCAACGTCTTTAATTTATGAACATGGCTATGGAGAATATGCCTTAGTTGGTTGCTTTTGTGAATATGTACACTCAGTCTTTAAAATCTCTTTGTAAAAAGGTAATTATTCTAAGAATAAAATTTTGGATTTTTTAGTAGCGTTTTGGTAGCGTTTCTTGTGGAAATTATATCAGAATTTTGGAACATTTTTCCTTGTGAAAAGATTTATCTTGTCCTTAAAAAAAAAAAAAAAACAAAAAACTAAAAAGTGCTGACTGCTAGAACAGGAAATCAGAATAATTTGGTGTATCCACAAGGTCAGTTTTTAAATTTTAATCACAGCTCTTCAATACCAACCCTTTCTTTCAACACAACTGCTTTTGCAAAGGGGGTAATGGGGACGCACAGGTTTTCTCATCTTAATAAATTTGAGCCTTGGGCTGTGTGACAGCAAAATTTTGACAGAGCAATGCCCAGGTAACTTCATTCAGTGGATGGCAGAGGACAACCAGGCTAAAGATCACAGCGAACGTTGCCAGCAGTAGTGTTCACCATCCCAGAAAAACAGTGAGGTTGCACTTCCTTCCTATTTTTACTTTTTATCCAAGGTGAATTTAAAACTAAACTCTGTTATGTGGTAAGTGTTACCTCTGGCCTGACAACACAGACTTGTCTGTTAGTTTATTAGCATATTTTGTATGCCTGGGTTTTGAAGCTGGGCAGTTAACCATGTCCAGGGTGGGATCAGTTTGAGAAACTGTAGCTGACTGCATCTGAAGTAGTCAAAGCTCTTTCTCTGGACAGCAGAGAAAGATGGGATCTAGGTGCAATAGATACCTAAAACAGCGAAGTGAATGGAGTCCTGAAAATGTGCATGTCTGCTCAATGTAGGGGAAGCCTTAGCTACCTCCCTCAGTAGAGAGTGAAAACGTGCCGTGGTGGTTGGCTGTTCTCCACGGCCTGAGGTTGCAGGGGGTCTGCAAAATACAAGGTGTCAGCCCTTCTGGCCAAGGAGCAGTGGTGGGGCTGTGAAACTGTCATATGCAGCCTGCCTCCTGTGCAGAGCAGCTGGCTGTTGTACATGCTGCAGCTCTGCAGTCTCAAAATACTGGGCTTTTTGGGTGTGTGCCTACAACATGCAAGTGCAGGATATACCCCTGGTTTTCCCTTGTCTTGCTGCTACCAGGGTGGCTGGTGGGCCACCTCCTCCTCCCTGCCCTCCCCCTGGAAAGTGGAGGCTGGGAACAGGTTATTACCTCAAGAACAACTCATCCAGCCTGCCACGCTTTCCCTTCTGGAGGAAGCTGCCAACTGTAAGTGGGGTGAACAGCTCTGGCAAGTTGCAAATTTAACACTCCTGCTCCCAGGCAATCCTATGGTGCAAACGTATGTGTAGATATCTTGAGGGCTATTCTGTGTCTTTCTGTCAGCTAGTTGTAGGAACATGTATATTCCTGAAGAAATAAGACGAGAAGTGTTATGAATGAATTGCTACAAATAAGGTCTATTTAACACTTCCAAGATAGCTTTAAAAATGTCTGTGCCTCCCTCTCTAAATATTGTTACATTAGGCTTTTATACACAGTTACACATTGATGAAATCACATCACTTTTGCTGATGTAGCTTAGCACTACATTAAGAAAAACACCCAGTTCTATTTGATTCCTGGTTAAAGTGGTTTCCTGACTCACTTGAGTAGGTTTCTTCTCTTGCTTGGTATTATTCTTGGCATTGCAGTAGGAATCATTCATAGTGGGGTGGTTTTTTTTGTTTTGTTTTGTTTTTTGTTTTGTTTTTTTTCTTTTTTCATGTGGAAAGGCAGACCAGCTTTTTACGTTAGCCTGACAAACTATGCTGTCTGTATCTCAAATCTGGTTGGTCTGTGCCATTGGCAAAAAGTTGTCCAATTCCTAACGTACTCGAAGACCATGTTGACTAACAAGACACTGCCTAAAAAAGGGTACTGTTTCACAGCACGAATGCCCATTTTCACAAATCATTTTAGTCTGTTGGTGGTTAGCTTGATTCAGCAAAATGTTTCATAATCCTGCCTAGTGCTAACCAATGCCAGTGAGTTGATGGATTTTGAAGCACTTGCTGGAACACTCCAGCAGGACCAGGCCATTCAGCACAGCAGGTGGTATGAAAGACCTGCACAGAGGGTTGAGCTGGTCAAATACTAAAGCCCACAGCTCAGAGCTTTCCATTCGGCATCTGGCCGCTGTCTTCATTCAGCCCTAACTGTGCTGGTGGAAAAGCCACTCTCTTCCACCCATCTGGTCCAGGTGTTTTAGCCACCACAGATGCCTGGTGAGGGAGCACCCACAGGGCAGCTTTGCAGAGCTTGGGAGTGCCCGTCCCTGCTGGGGAAGGTGAGAAGTGGCAGAGCACAGGCAGGTTTCTGGGTGAGAAGCTGTTCCCCTGGCCCAGCTGCCTGCCAGGCATGTGCTCCACGATGTCTGGCATACAGGCCTCTTGCAGCACTGCCATTCTGCACCTGTGCGGGACCCAGCCACACAGGGACGATGATGATGTGGGGCTTAATGCTCTTGTAGTACCTTTTGTCCTGGTCTGGGCAGCAGGGCAGAAGCCAAGCCCCACTGTGCCAGTCTCCTCCTTGCACTGGGAGACCTGCCCAGCAGTGGGGAGGGCTGGGGACAGCCTGCTCTGCAGCAGAGCTCTGTGTCAGAGGTAGCTGCCAGGAAGGAAGGCGAGTTCTTAGACCACCTTAGAGATGTGTTAAAGCAAAAAAGGGAAGAAGGCGTCCAGTGTCCCCTGTGCCACACTGGGTTGCTGTTTTCTGCCTGGAGCAAAGCTCCCAGGAACAGGTCCCAGGTGAAATCAGATCAGGCTGGAAGGAGAAGGTGGGAAGGAGAAGGAAAGAAAAGGTTAGCAAAGGAAAGGCATCAGAGGCATCTGCTTTTACCCTCACTAACCTGTTGTCTGGGAGATTTATCACTGTCACAGTACTTAGGACTGTGAAAGACTGCTTCACTAGCTATGATGTACTGCTCTTGTGGGAAAAAGGTGGGAAGACTCCAGTGACCTGCTGTAGGTTTTGAAAAATAAAGAAATTACTTGTAATGTGCTAGGCCAGTCTGCCTCAGTGCAAGACCAAGCAAGCAAGGTTTACTGAGTTTCATTAAAAGCTAAACTGAGACCCAGAGTCAACGATGGAACAACTTTAGTTCCACAGCAAGTAAGATCTGGCGGTGAATCAGGCTATGGCACAAGGCTGTTCCTCAGCACTGCTCGGCTCCCTTTTGCTCATTCCCTCATTAAAACCACATGGGTTTTTTTTTTCATCATGAATGTCAATGTTCCAAATTTTTACAATGTTGAAGTGTTGC